TCTTCGACACAACCTTTGTTCATAACATAATAACAAACTGGCCCATGTTTGGCCATCTCATATTCAACCTCCCAGTCAGTCTCTTCGACTTCGACTTGTCGGTCATACTCCCTAGGTAACACTGACACCACATTAACCATAATATCCAGTGCAACGTATGACCCATAATCACATTCATCTTCTGATTCATTTTATCCAGGCCACTTCAATCTTCTGGCTACTGGCTCTCTTTCTAAAGGCTTTCTTAGTTTTCCCTTTCCTTTTCTTTGTGGCACATTAGTGCTTGTTTCTGATTGGGATCCTTGTGTAGCCTCTTTTTCGGCTTTTCGTCGTCTTTGATATCTCTTCCATTGAGAGTGTGTCATGGGGTTTTTTCCCTTGTAGTTGCTCAACACATGAACCACTTTGTTTGTTTTTTTAAGGAATTCCTCTCTATAGGCCAAGGAGGATCCTTTTGGCACATCGAATGTTCGCCATTTTTCCTCGTTGGGCCTTTTCCTTCTTGTTGTTTTCAACCAGGTGTCCATAGGGACATTTGTTGGAGGCCTAAATGTTGGTGTCCTATTCACCTGTTTGATTGGCCATTTTTGGTACCCTCTTCTAGGGTCATATCTCACCTCAGGATCCATGTTGGGTTGGGCATTGGTGCCCCATTTCTTCTTTTCCGCATGCATACCTTGTATGTGTTTATCAGCTTTTTTGTCGAAGATGGAGCTGCATCTTGGGCACAGTAGGACTTTTGACTTCTTTTTCTGGCATCTTTGCAGAAAGTCTTCCAGATCTTCATTTTCTTTAGGAAATGCGGTTTTGTTGACTTCCTCTTGTCTTATGGCATCTTCTGAAGCCTTAGATTCAAATACTTCAACCATATTGATTTGCACATTGCTCTTACCATCTATCTTCAGCTTTTTTATCTTGGCTTCTAGGCCCTCCGCCGAACCTGTGACAGCAGCCAAGTAGGAACCTGCAGCAGTTTCTTTGTTTGAACCTCCAGTGGCCCCTTTGTTTAGGCCTTCAGTGCCCTTTTTATGTATCATCTCGACAACTTCTTTGCTAATATATTCAGTGAAACTGCCAAAGGCGGGTTTGTTGATGAAATTTGTTGAGACTTAGACCATGTTGATGCTTGAAGGTTCATCATAGTTGGCCTCAGCTTGCAATGGGGTTACATCAATCTTCCTAGGTGGCTTATCAGCAAACTTAAGCCTCCTGTCTTTGATTTCACCTTGAACGATATCCCTGAACAGAAAACATTGTGAGGTTTTATGGCCCAAAAAATTATGATATTTACAAAAACCTCTCTTTTTCCTTTGATCTAAAGGAGGCATTTTTCCCCAGGGGGCACTATCAACTGGCCATCTTTAACTAATAAGTCAAATATCTCGTCACATTTTGTGACGTCGAAACTATATGTTTTATTTGGGAACCTATCACTATTCTTTTCAGTTTCAATAGGATTTTTTCCATTTGAGGGCGATAACAATCTACAAGAGTATGGTGGCCCTTGCTTTAACTCTGCTAAATCGATCTCGCTCTCTTCGACAATTATAGGATCATTAGATGTCTCTGGATCTTCATCATCCATTTCTACATACGCTACCCTTTCTCTTCGATGGTTCTTATTTGCCTTAGCTTTTTCAGCATTAAGGCGTTCCACCTGTAGAACTCTATCGGCCAATTGGGCCATATCTCTCAGGTATTGAGTATCTAATTTCTTCTTAATGGAATAATCTAGACCTCATGCAGCCATTTTGACTAACTCATGTTCAAGCATTGTGTAAAGCATCTAGCCTTAAGTAATCGAAATCTGTTCAGATACTCATCAATTGGCTCAGTGAACCTCCTTTTCACTCTAGCCAATTCTTTCAAACTTATTTTGGTTTGTCCCATATAGAACTGTTCATGGAACAATCTCTCCAACTGATTCCAATTATGGATCAAATTGGCTGGGAGTGTGGTAAACCAAGTGAAGGCATTTTTGGTCAAGGAACTTGGGAAATACTTAATCCTAAGATTCTCATTATTCGAAATTTCCCCACCCTCTATCAAATACCTTACTACATGTTCGACAGTGGACTCTGTTGTATCCCCTGAAAATTTGTGAACTTTGGAACTTTCCACCTAGGAGGTAATTCTGATTGCAAGATATAATCTGACAATAGAGATGTAAAGTTTGGCCTATGAAAGCCGATGTTGACTCCATTCTGTGCCATGATTCTCTCAACCATGGCTGTCAAGTTATTATCCAGTGCATAGTTGTGGTGTCGAGCCTGCTGTACTACTTCATCAGCACTTTGGTTTCTATTTACCATAACTATACCTTGTTCGACAGCTCTAGGGATTTGTGGGACAATCCTGGGTATTTCGACTCTAGGTTATTTGATTTCCACTCTATGGTTTATCCTATCTGGCTGTGGATTTTGGTTAATGGTCATGTCATCCTCTAAGATTACACCTTGATTTCCTCTTATCAACTCTCTTTGGGGTTGTCGAATAGGTTGGGGAACCCCAAAAAATTCAGCCATGTGCGTCATTTGCATTATCATTTGCTCATTCGACTGGGTGGTATTTTGTATTAGAGGGTTAAGCACTATACTCAAAGTTTGTGCCAATATTTGCACCATGTCATGGTTGCTTTCATCCATTTGTTGTCTCAAAATTGCTGTAGAAGCATTTGTGAGACTTGGCATCGTATGGAATGTTCCTCCTAAGACTTGGTTCCTACCCAAATTTACCATAGCAGTTCCAAATCCCTGCAATGGTGAAGATGCACTCACCAAAAGTTCTGAAAATATGGATGAAGCATTCATAAGGCTTGCCATTTCAGTAATTGGCATGCCATATGGTTGTTCTCGACCTATCCAGGTTGTCGAAAATCCTGGAGGGACATAGGGTCGAACCCCTAGATTTCCCCTTGGGGGGGGGGGGGGGGGCGTTCCTGGTGGACCCCTAGAACCTACATAAGAAAGTATTGGTCCTGTTTGTGTAGCCGTCAACGCTGGTGTCGAACCAACTATTGATGGTATAGGCTCACTAACTGTTGGCATAATAGTATTTCCAATGCTAGAAATTGGTGGAGCCATTTCTCCACTACTAGAAGGAATAGCCATTTTACTATTTCTTCTCTTAGGTATGTATTCGTGGGTGGTTGTTTTGCCACTTCTCAATAACATACAACAATCTTTGAAAGAAAAGAAATTACTTGAAGCATAAAAACTATTTTTATCAGAGTTTGTAAAACAAGAAAACTTAGCAACGTCCCACTGGGCGTGCCAATTTGTTTATCGTGAAAATTGGTAAACAACCGATGATCTTCCAAAATGGATTATTTTGGTGACTTGCAGGATCAATTAGATTGATCCTAGGACATATGCTAAGTTAGTTTGTAAGTTTAGTAAATTTAAGTGAAAAGGGTTGAGAGGAGAATTAAGAGTAGATGCGAGATGCAGGCGAAAACTTGATGAAAGTGCAAGTAAAAAGTAAATAGAAAGGGGTTGAGAAGAGTTTAAGGATAAAGGTTAAAAAGATAGAGTAAATTTGCAGTAATGATAAAGTTTGCAAGGAAATGTAAATGGCAAGGAATGTAAAGGAATTGTAAAGACTTTGATTGAAATAAAAGATGGTGTTTCAAACGTACATTCTCAATATCTTTTCTCTCACAGCGGGTACTTGGATATATTTGAGTGACTTGTACCATATGTTGAACACACGAAATTTTATACAAACTTCATATATTTATACTGAAACTAAGTAACCGCCGAGCAGTTGTCTCGTTCCAGGATGAAGACAAATGTCCTCTGCATGTGGTTCGACCTCTATCTTCATACCACGTTTCTTTCCTCAACTGCCAAGTGAACTGCCTTTCCCTCCCTTCTCCAGATTCAAAATTACTCGCTTACTGATACGAGAACCTTTAAGTTGAAGGCCACGAGAACCTCTCAGTCGAAGGTCACGAGAACCTCTTGGTCGACGACCAACTTTAACTTAGAAAATTCTCTAACTGTTTTCTCCTTCTTAGTAAGGGAGACTTCGACACAACCTTTTTGTTACAAGCTCTTTTGTCGAAGTGTTTCCAACTTAGATTTATTCAATATATTTTTTACCAATAAAACCAATGTATTGTGGGTGTCGAATTTAGGAGCTAACAAAATCACATTTTTTAATAAATGATAATCAAGAAGAGACAAAACTATTTATTTAAAGAAATATTTAAATATTATATTCAAATATATATTACTTTATACCGAAGATATTTTAAATTTCATTAAAAACAAAAATGGTAAATATGGGAACAAACAGATAACATTTAAATGAACATTATAACGAGACTAATGAGAGGGAGTATATTTTTAGAATGTGCTATTTATTTATAATAAATATCGGGTAGTTTATTTATATATCTAAATCATTTAAATTTCCCTTTCTTATATGACACGTTTTAATTTGTAAAACTAAGAATCTAAAATATTTACCTATTTTTACTCCCTCCTCTATGTTTGAACATCCAACCAACCAAAACCTACACTAATTAAGCTAAGAAATAAATGATACTACTACTCACGGTCACTAAATTCCAATCTTACTAACTAAGTAAAGCTTAAAAGATTCCATCATGAAATTTAATGAGATCACACTAACATCATCACCATAAAAAATAATTCAATCCAAAACCTCTAAAAAGTAATAAAAAAAAGCATAACAATCTCCAATTCTTTTTTCCTACTTCCTTTTCATAACACCTTTTAAAAATCTACCCTTATGGTGTCACATCACATTCAATCTTATGCAGTTAATTAAGGATCATGCTTTTTCCATCGTGTACCACACGCACTGATCATGCGTGTGCTTAAACCTCAAACCTCAAAACAACATCAACAACAACATTCAACAGCAACATCATCAACAACAAAGACTATGTTAATGTTCCTTTGAAGAGTGTTCTATTCTATTCTATTCTATTCTGTTTTGCTTTGTTTTGTTCTTTTCAAGCATTTTCTTTGATGGGTAGGCTTGCACCATTATCAGAAGAACCTTTCAATGAAGAAAATGAAAGAAGAAGCAATAACTCTAAGAAAGGTTTTCAGTTATGGATGAAGTGGAATTGGATCAAGACCCATTTTTCTTTTGTTTTCAACAAGAAATCTAACCTTAAGATGCTTCTTAGTGTTCTTGGTTGTCCACTTTTTCCTGTTCCTGTTCATGCCAAATTACCCCTTAATGAGGTAAGTCTTTTTTCTTGTTTACCTTTTGTTATATAATTTTTAATGCTTCATGCAATTTTTTAGTTTTATAACTAACATATCTAATATGTTATACAAATATATCTAGCACATAGTTCTAAGAAGATATATAGTACTATAAACATGAAAATAAATAAATAAAATTGTTTTTGTTTTTCAATTTTAGAATTATGCTAAAAAATAGTTCATGGTCATGGATTTAGTGAAGTGATCCTTGCCGTTCGAGAGATTAGTGTATACAGTTGCGTGTAGAGGATATATGGTTTCTGTCCAGAAATAGTATATTTTTAAGTGATCTTTGTTTGGTCACAATCTGTTACAGGTTTCGTCTTCGGCGCAGTATATTATACAACACTTTACAGCTGCAACAGGGTGTAGGAAATTGGAGGGGACAGTGAAGAATGTGTTTGTTACTGGGAAAGTGACAATGGTAGTTGTGGATGAGCTTGGATCGGTCGGTGGTGGTAGTGTTAATGGAGTTTCTGAGAAAGGGTGTTTTGTGATGTGGCAGATGGTTCCTGATAATTGGCAGATAGAGATTGTTGTTGGTGGTCAAAAGGTTCTTGCAGGAAGTAATGGCATTATTGCTTGGCGTCACACACCTTGGCTCGGCGTGCACGCAGCTAAAGGTGGCGTTCGTCCTCTTCGTCGCGCAATTCAGGCAAGTTCTGTTTGTCAAACTTGATTTTCAATGTGTTTGTACTTTGATAACAAGTTTTATGTAGAGTATAGATACGAAATCTATTCTGATAGCTGTTAAGCCAAACCTCGTCTTTGAAGGCGTGCTAGATAAACTATCACATATAGAGCCTAAATTTGACATAAGTTAAATATTGTCAAGAATCAAGATGATTAATCAAACATATTAAATTTGTTTAAATGATCATAAATGTGATTTAACAACTTCTAATGCTATTGGTCAAATTTAATAAATTTCAGGACTTAAAAGACATGAATATGCTGCAGGCCAGTAAATTGGATTGGACCATTCATTTATTCAATCTAACCATATTCTAAACATAGTTTTCCTTATCTTTTTTTAGATTACAACAATAATGGTAATGAAGTTTGAAATGTATGATTTGATAAACTTCTAAAATAGCATCCTCAACTATGTGACGGTGATTTTGTTTTTGTTACCTAAAAAAACGAACATTAATTGTGGTTATGGTATGTAGGGACTAGACCCTTTAGCAGTATCAGCTGTATTCAGTGCAGCACAACACATGGGAGAGAAACAAATGAACGGCGTGGATTGTTTCGTTTTAAAACTCTGGGCGGATCAAAAAGACCTAGTCGAGCGAAGCGACAACACGGCGGAGATGATCAAGCATGCTATATTCGGTTATTTTAGTCAAAGAAGTGGACTTTTAGTCTACTTGGAGGACTCTTACTTGACAAGGATTCAAGCAATAGGGACAAATCCTACATATTGGGAAACATCAATGTCGACTAAAATCGAAGACTATAGAGATGTTGAAGGTGTTATGATTGCACATTCTGGATCGACAACCGTGATGATAACACGGTTTGGCGATAATCTTAAGGACGGACCTGCCATTACTAAGTTGGAAGAATCATGGAGTATTGATGATGTTGCATTCAATGTTCAAGGGTTGTCTATTGATTGTTTCTTGCCACCTCAAGAACTTAACAAAGAGTGTCCACAACAACATCTTGATTGGAAATCATCCTTGCATAGATGATATATATTAATATGGAAATTGTTATGGTTGTGTTTTTTGTGTTCCATGCGGCTCGAGGGATTAGCGCAGTGCATAAGGATACTCCATTTATAAGCGAAAACAATACTAATTGTTACTTAACATGTATAAGGATTGGTTTTGTAATTGTAATACAGTACTAACCCATACCTTTTGGGCATAGTATATGTAAACTTGATTTTGAGTTTGTTGTTATTAGTGCGTGAGACACTTTTAGTGAATAGAGAAAAAGAGAATAATAAAGGAAAATAAGGATTTGTATTATTCAAGTGTACAAATAATGATACACACTATGACTATTTATATATAATCCTAATTGAGTTTGGGCTAACACAATTTGGATTATATTAAATATTAAATCTAATCAAATCTAATCTAATCTAATTTAATATTTCAACACACTCCTATAATCTAAGTTGTCGAACATCCTAAAAAATAGTCAATCTGAACTATTCCTAATTTCTTTCTCAAATTCAAGAATCTGTCGATCTTCAATCCTTTGGTGAAAATGTCGGTCAACTGTGTTTCACTTGAGCAATGTCTAACTTCAAGTTCACATTGATTTACTTTTTCCCTCAAGAAGTGAAATCTTGTTTCAATATGTTTACTTCTTCCATGCAGAACTAGATTCTTCGCCAGATTTATGGCTGACTTGTTGTCGATTTGCAATACTATAGGTTTCTTCACTTCGACAGTCATTTCTTCAAGTACAAATCTGATCCAAATTGCTTGACATGCAGCATAAGATCCCGCTATATATTCAGCTTCACACGATGACAATGCCACCACAGGTTGCTTCTTCGAACACCATGAGATTGGGGCACCAAATACTTGAAAGAAATATCCAGTTGTGCTTCTTCGATCTTCCTTATCTCCACACCAATCAGCATCTGAAAAACAATTAACTATTGCTTCTTTGCCTTCAGAATCTCGTCGAAATAGTATTCTACAATTTATTGAACCCTTCAAATATCGAAGGATTCTTCTTGCAGCCTTCATATGTGACACTCTTGGTTCACCCATATATTTGCTTACTAATCCGACTGCAAAACCTATATCAGATCGACTATTGCACACATACCTCAGAGATCCCACAATTTGCTTGAACAAAGTTGCATCGACTTTGTCTTCCTCTCCATTCTTCTCCAACTTCACATTTGGTTCGACAGGTGAGGATGCAGGATTCGAATCATCCATTCTGAATCTCTTGAGTATTTCTTTGACATACTTTCTTTGATGTAGCACCATACCTTGCTTCGACATTTGAAATTCCATGCCTAGAAAATAAGACAATTTTCCTAGATCTGACATTTCAAATTCCTTCGTCATCAGCTCTTTGAACTTCGACAAGTTCTCCAAACTATTTCCAGTTACTAGCAAGTCATCAATATACAAGCAGATGATTGTTATATCTTGTGCTACAACCTGAACATAGACACCATACTCTGATTTGCATTTGAAAAATCCTAATTCGATTAAGTATGAGTCGATCTTCTTATTCCATGCCCTAGGTGCCTGCTTGAGGCTATAAAGCGCTTTGTGCAATCTATATACTTTACTCGCTTCCTTCTGAATCATAAACCCGAGAGGTTGTGTGACATAAACTTCTTCGTCTAAAGGACCGTTCAAAAATGTTGATTTCACATCTAGATGAAATGTTGACCAGCCTTGGTTGCATGCCAATGCTACTACTAGTCGAACAATCTCTAATCGTGCTACTGGAGCAAATACTTCAGAGTAGTCAAGTCCTGCTCTTTGAAGAAAATATCGAGCTACTAATCTTGCTTTATGTCTTGCTATTGACCCATTTGCATTGTGTTTCAACTTGAACACCCACTTTACTTCGATAGCTTTTGTATGTGTTGGCAATTCGACTAACTCCCATGTGTTGTTTCTTTCGATTGCCTGTAACTCTTCGACCATAGCTAACTTCCACTTGTTAATCTTCAAAGCTTCGATATAGTTAATTGGTTTAGCACCTGCAAGTAAAGAAAAATGAACTAATTCTCCATCTGGTGTGATTTCATCATCACCCCATCACTTCATAATCATGAAGTCTTGTTGGAAGAACTCTATTTCTTTGAGGTCTTTGGCTTGTTTCAGACACAACCTCTTCGACTTCGACTGTGATGGGAGTGTCAGCAACTGCTTCTTCTTTGACTTCGATTGGATTCTCAACAATTCCTTCGACCTCTACTTCATTAGTTTCTTCGTCGAAATCAAAGTTCATTAATGATTTGTGAATTGAATTGCTAGAATTCCAATCCCAGGCAGAATTTTCATTAATCACAATATCTCGACTCAACACAATCTTTTCATTAACTGGATTGAATAGTCTGTATGCACCAGTTTTATGATATCCTACCAGAATCATAGGTTCACTCTTGTCATCAAGCTTCCTTCTCCTTGCATCAGGAACATGCTTGTAACACATAGAGCTAAACACCTTCAAGTGACTTACTAATGGTCGTTTGCTACTCCACACTTCTTCAGGAACCTTGTTCTTCAATATCTTAGTAGGACACCTATTCAAAATATAAACTGCAGTCGAAACAGCTTCTCCCCATAAAGATTTTGGAAAATTCTTTTGCTTCAGCATGCATCTTGCCATATCTAATATGGTTCTATTTCTTCTTTCAGCAATTCCATTATGTTGAGGTGTGTAAGGAGCAGTTACCTCATGATCAACACCATGTTCTGCACAGAAATCTTCAAACATCTTGGATGTGTATTCGCCATCTCCATCTGTTCGTAGAACTTTGATCTTCTTCTCACTCTGGTTTTAGACAAGTATCTTGAATCTCTTAAAGATTTCGAATACTTCGTCCTTTCATTTGATCACATAGATCCACAACTTTCGACTAAACTCATCGACAAAGGAAACAAAATATATGTTTCCACCAATTGTATGTTCTTCAAATGGACCACATACATCTGAATGCACCACTTCGAGAATGCAGGATGATCTCATTGACATAGTCAAAACGAGAGAATTTCTGGATTGCTTTCCCACTAAACAACCTTCACAAAGTTTTTCAGGCATCTCAAGACTTGGAATACCAGTAACCATATCTTGATTAATCAGTTGATTAAGTGATCGAAAATTTAAATGTCCAAACCTCAAATGCCACAACCAACTATCCTTGTGGTCGACAACAGTTTTCAAACATTGAACTTCTGTCGAACTGATCATAGTCTTAAATGTCCTGTTCTTCGACAATAGAGATTTTAAAACCAAATTGTTCTTAGTGTCAAACAATTTCAAAACTCCATCTTTCATGACAACTGAGAAACCTTTTTCAACTAGTTGTCCAACACTTAACAAGTTGCATTTCATTCCAGGTACATAGAGTACATCTTTGATCATAGCTTTCCCTCCATTACTTATTTGAAAGACTATGTTGCCAGTACCTTCTGCTTGCAACGAACTATTATCAGCAAGTTTTACCTTGCTCTTCTTCGACTCATCAAAATCTGCCAACCACTCCTTTCGACCAGTCATGTGGTTCGAGCAACCTGAGTTGAGAAACCAGATATTAGATTCAACATGGTTATCTGCAACTGCAGCCATAACCATCATACCACCTTCAGAATCATCTAAATCTTGGCATGCAAGGTTCGCTCCTTCGTCCTTGCCTTTCGATCCCTTGTCTTTTCTGTACCAACAATTTTTGGCTAAGTGTCCCCACTTTTCACATTTATAACATTGCATACCTTTCTTATCTTCTTTGTCCTTTCGATAGTTTCCTCCTCCCCTTTTCGAGGATTCATAAGATCTATCTTCGACCTTATTCTTATGGGAATTCGACCAAGAATTCTTGCCATGAGTCTTGTCGAACTTGCCTTTGAATTTGTTGGAACCACCATCTTTTTTCCATGATTGAGCTTGCAGTGCCTGTATCGAGTCATGAACTCCTTTCCTTTCGACAATCCTCATCTCATGCGCCTCCAACGAACCAACCAAATCTTCCACTTTAATGGTTTCAAGATTGTTGGATTCTTGAATAGCTACGATAACGTGATCAAAGTGAGAGGTCAACGTTCTCATTACCTTCTCAACTATCATCTTATCAGTAATGGTTTCACCACAAATCTTCATGAGATTGTAGCGGTAGAAATGTTCAAGACTAAGCCATTGGATTGACTAGACTCTATACAAATCAAAATAAAAATCACCACCGCGCTTTATTGTTTCCAAAGGAATGGGAAAAGAGCGAATAACCCAAAAAAAGGGGGAAAGATTCAAGGTAAGGGAGTTGGTTATGCAAAGGGAAGGTATTAGCACCCTAAACATCTACGGTACTCCGCAGGAGCCTCTTTGTAAAATCTGTATATTTTTGCTATAAAAACTGTTGTATATAAAAAGTGGATGGTGGAAGTGAGGAAAGAAGCGTATTTATTTTATAACTTTTGCACCCGCCGCGGTTGCGCACCTTTAGTGCCTACGTACCACCTTTCGTGCAATAGGGGATCAGTGTACACGTAGTTCCTCTTTTAAAAATTTGAAACACAAATGTGTTGGTTGATTTTATGAGATAAAACATCATCGTCATTGTCCGTGTGGAAAACATACCTACTACCCACAATCGTGAGAAAGGAGAATTTACATCCTCTCAAAGTGGAGGATATGGCTTGGATTTCAAAATCAACAATGCCTCACTCAACACCCAAGTGGAAAATATCTCTCTTCACTATATATTGTAGAAGTATGGTCGTTTGCATCACTATAAGGATTGACAAGAGTTTAATCTTTTAAGAAAAGTTTTAAAAGGTAAAAAGCCAAAGTGGCAAAATGGTTTGAAATGAGATTGATTGACTTTTAGTCTTCTCACAAAAAAGATGTCAAGGTATTATTAAGTTGATTGGAGTTTATTTATGAAAATGTTTTGAAAATGCATGGACATAAGTCCAAGTTTATTATGAAAATAGTTCAAGTTTTAAAACAAGAAGAGTTTTCAAAAGGAGGAAGAAGATTTTGAAAT